CTTCCCTCGCTCCCCCCCCCCCCCCCCCCGTATGCAGGCCGCATGCAAGTGATCTCAGTGACATCGCCGGGATCACTTGTAGAAAACAAGCGTCGGCTTCCCCGCAGCACATTTAGCCCTGCTTGCCCAAAGCAGGGTTAAATGTAGAAAACAACTACCCGCACAGCTCCCGGAACTGCATGTCCCGTGCATCGGGAGATAGGAATTCCACACCCCTGCTGCCCCTGTACTCCCTGCTGCCCCGAGGCCAGGCCTTAGTTGGCCTTGTGGGAAATCCGGCCCTGCAGAGGAGCCCCTACCAGGGGTTTTATCAGTCATCATCCAGTAGCGATGTGACCCTCCAGGTAAATGGTGACATGGAGGTTCCACTTACTCCATGACACCTGCTCAGCACTAGTCCTCAGTGCCATGTTTGTATGCCCAGTCCCTACACCATACGCAGACCATCACTCCCACCCAGAATTCTATCACTGACATCTGACATCATCCATCACAATGTATTGGAGACATTACCTTCAGTATTATGTTTCTGCAGCTTTGCTGGAATTTCTGCTGTACAGTGGTGTATTCAGAAGTCCCGGGAGCGACATCCACCTCCATCACAGGGGTCTTACCCATCGTCTCCCAGTGTGTTGGCAACGCGATAGATTCCCCTTCTAAAAGATAAGATGTGCAGTCAGGACCCAAAGAAAAAAACAGACAAGTAAAACCGTGGTGCAGGACCCCATATCACCCTCTTTACTGATGGAGACACGGGTAGTTTAGATTTTTTTTCCCCTGCAATTCTGCAATCAAGTGTCTTCCTATGGCTGTGTATGGCCACAGCTGCAACCTTGCAGCCTGCAGGTCAATGCCCTACAGCAACAGCTTCGGGAACTGTACCAGCACTCCACAGGTAGCTGTAGATCTAGCTTTGGGCACTGGATCCTGCCAAAGGCACTTCATACAGCGCATTGGGTTAGCTGCAGGGTGCTATATATGTCCAAGGCAGAAGCATATTCGTACAGGTGTGCCACTATCCCTAAACACCCCTTATGGAGTATGATCATTTGGAGTGAGCGAAGAATAAAGTCAGTTTTTCCTGCCTGCCTGCAGGGTCGTGGCTGCCAGTAGGCAAACTAGGCAGCCGCCTAGGGCGCACTGCTACCTAGGGCGCAGCCTTGACCATTCACCCCCCATGGTGCCCCCGTCTATTTCAAATTGCAAAAGCCAAAAGCAGGCTGGCTATTGCACCCACCCACTGAGCAGAGGAGCGTAACTGAGAGACAACTTTCTCTCTAAGGTTCGCTCCTCTGCTCAGTGGGTGGGGTTTCATTAGCTAGTCTGCAATTGGCTATTTCAAATTAAATTACATACACCTGTCCCCTGCAGAAACTAACCTGCAGGAGAATGGGGCTCCGCGGGGGTGGAGATTGGGGGTTGTGCCACGGGAGGGGGGGTGCATGGTGCTGGTCTTGCCTAGGGCACCGGCCCTGCCTGCATGCCCCCTACGGTTGGGGCAGCATGCAGTGGACGGCGGACAGCTATGAGACAGGCTAGGGGGCTGGAGCATGCTCAGAGTGCCACTGGTGTCCTTCTTGGAACACCAGACTGCCCAGCTAATGCATGGAGGCTGGTACAGTGGCCATCTTTGTACTCCCAACACCAGCAGCAGGGGAGTGCCCTCCAGTGATACTGTGGTTTCCTAATTTGGTCCTTTCATCTCTCTACTGGATCTCACATACAAGGTTGCTTCCCTTGTTGCATTTACTTCTGAGAGTTTAGAGCTTGAAGCTCTATTGTCAAGGAACCTTTTCTTGTTCTTCCAAGGATGAGGTCATGCTTAGGCTGAAGGATTCCTTTGAGCCTAAGATCATGTCTACTTTTCAGCTTCATGAGGATATCATCCTTCCCTCCTTTTGTCCTAACACATCCTAGGGAAGTCTCTCTCCATTGTTTCAAGTATATCTCTTGGCTACAGCTTTGTTCTGACAATCAGATTGTCTATTTATTCCAAAGGACCTCACATGGGGTTCCCTGCGTCTCATTTTACCATCTCAAGATGAAAAAAATAAGTCATTGTGCATGCCTATTCTGCGAAAGGGAAGGCTCTGACTCTTTATGTGAACGCACACTCTACTAGACCTGTCAGTGCTTCTTGGGTTTTTTGGCATCAAGCATATGTGTTGCAGATTAACAAGGCAGCCCCCTCAGTCTTCTGTTAATATGTTTACTAAGTTATACCAGGTGGATGTTTGGGCACTATCAGGCATAGTATTAGCCATAAGGGGCTACAGAGTGCTGCGTGAGGTTGGGCCTTCCCTCTTGAGTTCTGTTATGCAGGCCTGTTGGTGTGGTATGCTTGGGTATGTCCCAGTTATCTCTGAATCTGCCCCTGTCCTGTACTGGTCAAGAAAATTGGATTTTTGACTTTTCCGTTGCTTGGAGTACAGTACAGGACAAAGCACCCTCCCCTCTATGTCCTTTACTGCATGTAAAATAATGGAGGATCCCTTGACTTGGAAGGGTTATATAAGGGTCCTTACAGCTCTGGCCAATCACCTGATATCTTCATATTACCCAGTCATCTCTGAATCTGCCTTTGTCCTGTACTGTACTGTGTTTTTTTAACATTCATGCATCTTTCTTACGTTATATATCTGACCTATTATAGAACTTTTGATCTGAGCCACCTGTGAATGTTTTCCAGGCAGTCACTCTGATGCACCCCACTTTCTACATGTGTTGTGAGTTTGACAGCACTGGTGTGGGGCAAGTGCCTGGTACCAAGACAAGCACTGTCAATCCGGACTAATTAGAGCTAATGTGGTGGACAGAGACATAACATAGCTAATTGCTGGTGTCACCATCCCCAGACGGATTTGCCATAGGGTAGAATAAACCAATAAGTGGGAAGTCCAGCCATAACAGGCACTGAGAGAGACGGGAGGGGAAACACAGAACTCATCAATAGAAGCTGACAGATGGGTTATCTCAATGTTGCCAAACCTAAATATCTTTCTGTAGGAGGCCATCTGAGGCACATGAAGGTCCATGGAGAATGATTTATAGGAGGTGAAAGTTTCTAAGGTGAATCTTCCCTGTAATTGCAGCTACTGAGTTTAGGTGAATTTATATAATACAATGGATGGATGAACACAGAATTTCCTTTTAGAATATGCCGCACCCTATAATTCATATCCCTCTGGGTCATTTCTGATCCTTCTCCCTGATGAAGTACAACGCTGCAGAATACGGCGGAGCTATTCAATAAACATTACAACAAAAAGCCCCATTACCATGTTTCACAAAACGTTGGATCCGAATTTGGTTTCCCTGCGTGTCTGTGGCCTTTTCATGTTTTATACTGACAGCAAATAGTTGTCCATGCATCTGGATTGTGATCTTATCCTTCCTGTCAGTCTTTGCCTCTTCCAGCTCCAGGTTTATCATCTTGTCGAAGGCAACCATAATCCCTCCGGTCTCGTATCTCCATTCCACCAGATTACCGGTGAGCTCGGCAGTCCTCTCCTTCTTCTTTCTGTCTTTTACTCGGTTTATAATCGTTTCGATCTCCCCGGACACGGCCATTACGTCCCGGGTGAGGCCCAGGATCCGGATGGAGGGGTCGGGAGGTTTGTAAATCACCGAGACCTGAAACTTTTTCTGGAGGTCGGAGAACTTCTTCACCTCGGCTTCTTCTAGTTCAGAGATACATTCCTCTCGGATCACCTTCTCCGACTGCTCGAATTCTATCTGCGCCTGAAGCCAAGCCTTGGTCCTTTCCACGTCACTTTTATCTTCAGCACATAAGCTGAACACCACAGGCTCAATGCCATCTACCAGCTGGAAGGCCGTCAGCTTCTGAACCCGCTTCTGTGCTTTTGATGACATAAACAATTCTAAAGGGGAAGAAAAGACAAAATGAAGTCACAAACTGAGAGAGAAAATCTAAATTGGGAATAGTCACTCTATAAACGGGATTCACACCAGGTCTGGATAACGTGCATTTCAGCAGAAGAACTGCGTGGATGTGCGGGATAAAGATCATTTCATGACGATTGGTTCACTGATTGAAGTAGATATAAACCCAATCACTAAAGTCTCATAATAACACGGCCATGTCACTTCAAGAAGTCATTTTCAAGGTCACATTACTCTAGAATACTCTTTCTGGTCCGATAAGCTGTAGCCATTAAATGGATCCCCCCCCCGCCCCTATGGAAGTTCAGTGGAAAACATTAATCAGTCAGATGATCCCATATGAAAAATTTAGACATTAGTAAATGAATTGTCCTCTCAAATGTCATAACATATGGGACCAGAGGTGTAACTCTACTCTGACTCTAAATGCAGGGTGACCTACACTGGTCCAACCACCAAAACTACTACAACCCATATATGTTCACCTCAGTATGTCACATGACACATGTATATAATAGGGGCTCATAGCAGGCTGCCATTGTCTCTGTGTCTTTATCTTTTTTTGCATATCTGTATCCAGATACTTCTACATACTCATTGATGTGGCTGATATTAATGTGTTTATGCTCTTTTGTGGAACTGTTTGAGTTCAATAAACAGAGTTTTGGGGGCCCATGCACAGCATAGTGTTGTGTTAATCAGATTATTTTTTCCAGATCTGGGTACTCATTTTCTAATATAGTTGGATCTTTGCAGAGTCTTAGGACTTTGCAGTCCCTAAACTAAACTGATGATTGAGTCCACATACTGTACACTGTATCTTTGCTTCGTTCCATTAAACCCAGATGAAGGGGGTGAATTTACAGCCCCCAAAACGTGTTGGCTTTGCAAATAATCAATCATTGGAATAAACTTCACAGTGTGACGCTTCAATCTCACATTCTCTCTTCCAGGATACTGAACCTCCTATAACAGAAATGTTTCTTCCCCTCTCTTGTTCTCTCTGGGTCAGCCATATTGTACTCACCGGTGAGTCTAGTGAGGAAGGATTTGGCTTCGGGCAGGGCTGTCCCCTCTCTCTTCTTCATGCTCATGTAGAAATCATTCAGCATATGTTGCTGGAATAGAACCACTTTCACCGTCTGAAGCGAACCGACTGATTTAGATTTGATGAATTCCACCAAACCATCGAGGATTGCGTCGGCCACTGTGGAGGCAGCTAATCCCCCCGCACCTGCATCAACGAGACAGAAATGTTCAACTCAGATACCGTATTTTTCCATCTATAAGACGCCCCCATGTATAGGACGCCCCCCACTTTTCTTACCCAAAATTCAGAAATCAATATTTTCCATGCTCTTTTGCATAACTGATTACATCCAGTTTAAATTTTGCAGAGTAAGACAGCCGCTTCCTGATATTGGTATTTACCGGGATTTTTTTTGTTTTCTGACATTTTATGGGCTCAGAATGCTCCGACATTACCGCTCCCTATTACATCTGGGCACTGGCTACAGGCTCTCCGCAGCATCAGCTGACGTCGGGTACTTAAGGCTCATGATTGGAGGAAACCTGTTAGCTTGTCTCTGCAATCGGAAGTTTCACTCGTGAGGCTAGTTTGCAGAGGTATCGGCAGTTTCGCAACCGCGGTTCTCCTCTCAGCCCCCCCGTGTATAAGACGCCCCTCCATTTTTAGGTAAATATTTTTATTAAAAAGTATAGTCTTATACATGGAAAAATACAGTATCTACTAACCTAAAAATTTTACTTTTCCTTCATTCAACATATAGGTAAAAGACATTGTTTGAGTCACCTGATATAGTAAGCTAGCAACAGATGAAGCTCCTCCCACATCTCCAAGAAACTGCATTACATCTCTCTGCCAATGTTTGCTTGGTTATCTTCAGTTATAGGGTCAGCATGGAGATATTAGCCCCTGGCAGACCCGAGAACTCAGCACAGGGATGGTGGAAACTCATCGTAATGGGCACAGCAGGTGAACAGAACTGGGCACTCAGCACAAGGATGGCGGGAGCCCCTCATAATGGGCACAGCAGATGTACTGACCTAGGATCTCAGCACAGGGATGGTGGGAGCCTCTCTAGTTCCCAAGAGATAAGAGAGATTGTCAGGGAACTCTCGCCATCGACCAAACAGTGAAATTCTCATCTTCTGTCTGGACCAATCCCATTACTCATCTCTTAGGCCAATGTCACATGGTTGCTATATGGGACACAGCAGGGAGGTGAAAAAGCGGCTGGATGAGCGCGGCACAAAACCAGCTCTATGTTCTTCCTGTAGATTTTAGAGGTTTTGTCGCTGTGACATCAGCCTCAGAAACTCATATAATTCGGAAATGATTACCGTATTTGCAGGAAAGTGGAAGAATTTGTGTTTTCATGAGAAATTAATTATTTTTTGTAGAAGGAGTTTTCAGGAACATCACAGCAGACAGTAAAATGCCTTAAAGACGGGTTCAGGTTCATGTGACCATAACTGGGGCTCACTGTCATTGGCTCCTTTCAGCTTGTCATGGAGACGCCCACCGCTGAATGTCCTCCGCTACTCATTGTGTTTGTACCGCAGCACGAGATATTGTACAACCCACTGCTGACAATCACATGATGCATTTTAGATGTTTAGAACACCTTGCTTTGCAGGAAAGCTCCTGAACAGAGTTATTGGGGGCAGCTGAGGGGAAAGCTTATTTATTTCTTGCACAATGAAGCAGAACCGTCTGTCTATCCTGAGGAGATTACTTTGTGAGTTGAGCCCGAAGCCAACTCATCAGAACTCATTGTTTTCTCTACAAGCTTTGTGTCTCCAACTCATCATAATCCCTTTACAGCCGAACACCTCTATACGCGTCCTCTCCACTTTCCACTCCCCAGACACGGCTGTAGTTCTGCTATGTATTTAAGTTTTGTTATGTTATACCATCCACCCAAAAAATTACTGCACACCACTAGTTCACCAGACATGTAATATATTCCACCCAAAAGCCAGCATGGCACGGTCCACCACTGACGCGTTTCACCCTTATGGGCTTAGTCGTAGAGGGAATTGCTTGTTACTCAATACAACGCATAGGGTGATCCTATAATGAGTATAATTTGTACTGCCCGCCCTTGTTGTATCTATGACTTCGTACATGGGGGAAAATTTGTGACCCCCTTCCAATATTTCTGCGTGATTCCAAATCTATAATCTGATCCTCGAACCCCGGGGCGGGAGGGGAGGGAGGGGGGGAATCACCTGAGTTCAGGGTGAAGTTTTGGTTGGAAGAATTCACAATGACGTCGGTCTGCTCTTTGGTTATATCGCCGGTCTTCACCTCATAAGTGGCAGGTCCGATTTTCATCTCGTGGACCCCGAGTGACGGGTTTGTCACCGTCCCAAAGAACGCTGCGGGACAGAAAGAGAAGAGGATGAAAACGGGAAGTTACTCACAAGTGACAAGGAGAGGGCCGAGGCGCTGAACAATTTTTTCTCCTCAGTATACACTCAGGAGGGAAACGGGTTTGACATACAGGATAAAACACAGAGTTCTACCGATAATATACCCCAGTGGTTGACGGAAAGTGGAATAGAACAAAGACTTAAAATGCTCAATGCAAATAAAGCGTTGGGACCAGATAACCTTCACCCCAAGGTACTTAGGGTACTAAGCCAGGTTATAACAAGACCATTATTCCTAATTTTTAAGGACTCCTTAATGACTGGTAGGATCCCCAGTGATTGGCGGAGGGCTACGGTAGTTCCAATATTCAGAAAGGGGGCTAGGTGCCAACCTGGGAACTATAGGCCGGTCAGTCTAACATCGGTAGTTTGTAAACTGTTAGAAGGTATAATTAAGGACTATTTGGTAAAATTTGTTAAGGATAACGGGATAGTTAATGACAATCAGCACGGGTTCAGGAAAGACCGTTCCTGCCTGACTAACCTGCTAACTTTTTATGAGGGGGTAAGTAGAGATATGGACGGAGGTAAGCCGGTGGATGTGGTATATCTGGATTTCTCAAAGGCTTTTGATACGGTACCACACAAACGCTTGCTACACAAGCTGAGGGCTATGGGCATAGATGAGGTGGTGTGTAC